AGCAATGAGACCGGAGGGCCTGCTGCCCCCCCGTGGATGCCGGCCGGCCACATTACCGTCGAACTTGACGTTGAGCACGAAGTCCTTGTAGAGGCGGCGCCCGTTGACGGGCCGCATGGCGTCGCAGAGGCGGGTGGTGTTGGGGCAGAGGGCGCGGTGCATGTCGTGCAGCGCGTGCGCCATGGCGTACACGGCGTTGACCACGAACATGATCTTGGACTCCTGCTCGAAGGGCACGGCCCGCAGCGAGTGGGCGGCGCAGTCCCGCTGCCGGAAGCTGCAGCGGAACCGCTGCTCCCAGAACTCGCGGAACCAGGGGTTGCGGCTGTTGTTCCAGGGGTCCAGGCCCCGGAAGTAGGAGGCGAAGTCACGGATGGGGTAGGAGGCCAGCTCGATGGTGATGGCGCCCTCGGCGGCGCCCTCGCTGCCCGCCACCACGCTCTCCAGCGCCCCCCAGCCGTCGCTGGCCACCCAGGTGAAGCTGGCGTTGAGGCGCTGGGTGGCGGCGAGCAGCTCGCGGGCGTCCTCCGACCGGGTGAAGAGGACGGCCACGCGGGCGCTGGGCTTCTGCAGCAGGGCGCGCACCACGCCCTCGAAGGCGGCGCGGCTCATGGCGCGGCCCACCTTCTCCGAGGTGGCCACGCAGATGTTGCGGGCGCGGGCCTCCAGCTCGAAGGCCTCGATGCCCGTCTCGCCGTAGTCGCCCTCGGACGCCACGGTGGACACGTAGGTCCAGTTGAAGAAGCGGAGGATCTCGGCCATGGCCTTGGCCTGGAAGAAGTCTGGGGGCACCGTGCGGGCGAAGTAGTCGTAGCGGGACTTGTCGCTGAGCTTGGCGCTGGTGGAGGCGTAGCTGATCTGCGGGATCTGGAACAGCCGCAGCAGGTTGGCCACCTGGGGTTGGGGCGGGGGGGCAAGGGTCGGAGACAGCCGGGTCCCCTGCAGCCGTCTGGCCTCAGGGTCAAGCATCCATGTGCTCTGCCCTGAGCTCCCCTCTGCCCAGAGACTTCGAGCCTGTCTCCATGCGTCTTCCTCCCGGGGACTGGAGAGTTTCCAACCCCTTCCCCAGGACGGGGGACAGCAGACCCCGGGGCCGAGGCACCCCCATCCAGAGCTGCCGCCTGTGGCCCCGGTCCCCTCTGCTGCCCCCTCAGACCCGTGGCCGTAGCAACAGTGGGGAGCCAAAGAGCAGCCCGAGTGGTGGGTGGAGAGAGGGGGGCACCAGGCTGCACGGGGGACAGACGGCACCTGGGGTGCCCAGGGCTCCCCTGGCTGGGGTCCTAACCCTTCCCCAGAGTCAGTGCCGATGGGCAGATGGAGAAGGGAAAGGCCCCCTCAGATCTAAGGGCCCTCGAGCACCGGTCTCCACTCGGTGCTGAGCCTGAAGGAAATGGCTTCCTGCTTCTCTCCGGCTGCCTGGCAGCCCCTCTGCCCTCACCCCCCTCCCCCGGCCCCCGGGCAGCTGGGGCCCGCCCCCGAGATCGGGGTCCAGCGAGGACCTGGTGGGGAGGTGGGAGCAGGGAAGGCTCAGGTCCCACGGGAGGGAGCCAGCTCCCAGACTTCCCTGGGGACACGGGGCTCTCTCCTGTCTCCGCACCCTCTCCTCCCGCACCGCCCCGCTCTGGGGCCCCGTGCAGGCGGGCAGATCCCCTGAGCCTCAGTCCCTTCACCCTGCCTCGCAAGGCCACCGGGCAGATGAAGCCGATGATGCGGTGAGGTCTCGGGGCCTGGCATGTGGAGGGTGGTAGGGATTTGGGGGAGAAGGAAGGGGCAGCGATGAAGAGGAGCCATTAACCGGCAGGTGTGGCCTGCAGGTGGAGGGCCAGGCCTTGTTTTGCCCCAGACACGGAGAAGCAGACACGCAGAGGTGTGGGCCCTGCTGAGGACGGAGGGAGGTAACTCAGCCCCCAGAGATGAAGGCAGGGCCCTGGGGAGAACTGTGGGAGGGGGTGCTGGGAAAGCCCCTAGCCGCTCCTGCAGGCGCCAGCAGGTGGGAGGCTGCCTGCCCACCCCGGCCCCCAGCCAGGGCTGTGGACGTTGGGGCTGGCCAGCCGCACCGATCTGAGGCAACTGGCCACGTGCCGCCGCCGGGAATGGCAGGGCTGGGAATTCAGTCCCTGCCGCCGGGGTGGGGGGTGTGCAGGGAGCAGGCCTCCCCCACCCCAGGCCCCCAGGGATCAGGCGGCTCACGCTCCGTTCCTCCCAAAGAAGTGCCCTGGGTCAGGAGTCCCGGCCCTGCCTCTGACAACAGCACCCTCAGGCCGGGCTCCGGAAGAAAGCTGGGGCCCGGCCGAGGCCCTCCTGGCAACCCGCAACCCTGATCCCAGTCCTGGCCTCGCCTTCCACCTGGGCACCCGGTCAGGGAGGGGGAGGGCCCCACCCGGGCTACAGCAGCCAGGTGTGCCCGGGGACGTAGGGGGGGCAGTGCCCTCCACTGACCCTTGCAGGAGAGCAGGAGGAGGGAGGGCCTGATGCCCTCACCACCCCCCCTTAAAGCCTGCATCCCTGCAGGACCCTGGGGGGCCGCCCCCTCTGCTTCTCTTCCTCCTGGGCCCTCCCCCCCATTTCCCTCCGGTGGGCTGTTTCTGGCTGCTATCCCCCACCTCCTCCCGGTCCACGGCGAGGTGGTCTGACGGGCCGGGAGGGCCCTGGTGGGAGCCCATGGCCCACGCCCCCCCCACCTCGGCGGGAGCCTGGATCGCCGGCCTGCCTCTCTCCAGCGCTCAGCATCCTCGCCCGTGACACGCGTTAGTCATGAGAGCAGCCCGTGTGGAACACGCCCCGTGGGCTGCCAGGCCCCGACGCACGCTGGGCATGCACCCCCTCCTCACCTTTCTGCCACAGCCTCAAGAGCGGCAGTGTGATGAGTCCCATTTTATAAGGAGGCGACTGAGGCACAGAAGAGAGAAGGGTTGCCCCGAGGCACACAGGAAGCGGGGGCGCCGGGCTCAGACTGGCGTTCCGCCCCGAGAGCCCTGGCTGCTTAGCCTCTCGGGGCTGCACTTAGCATCAGGCGTGTGGGGGGTGTTGGAAGTGGCGTGTTTTCCCTGCACGGCCTCTAACAATGGACCCCCACCATGTGATGGGGACACTTTCCCAGTCTTCTGTAAAAAGCTACTCAAGGGAAGCTTCTGGTTCCTCTCCCAGTGCATGGCAGCCCCGAGCACCTGCCCAGCGGGCACCTGGGCCCTGCCTCCAGCCTGTGTCTCCGGCCGTGATCCGAGCAGCCCCCCCAACGTACCTGGATGGAGACGTCGCTGTAGGAGCCGCCGATGACACCGGTGATGGCCGTAGGAGCGTCGTCGTGGGCGGCGTAGGAGCCGTCGGGGCAGATGTGGCGGGAGCCGTCGGCGCCCCGGCTGAGCGAGGCGCGCACGAAGTCCAGGGCCTGCTCCAGGGCGTACGTGTCCTTGGAGCAGCTGTCCAGGATGTGCGCGCCCAGGCGCACGCCGGGCAGCAGGTGCGGGTCCCGGTTGATGCGGTCCAGCGCGAACAGCATGGCCTCCAGGCGCTGGATGCCCCGGTGCTGGTTGATGGGCCCGCACTCCTCTGCGGGGCCGCCCTTCTGGTGGACCGGGAACAGCCCGCCCAGCACCAGATCCCCCTCCAGGGTCAGCACCTTCTTGGCCGGGCCCTCGGCCGCAGCGCCCCACAGCAGCAGCGCCAGGAGCGCAGGCAGCGACCCCATGGCCCCGGAGGGGGTGGGTGGGTCCAGCCTCCGGGGGATGAGAGTGGAAGCAGCAAAGCCCAAGAGAGGAGGAAGGAGGGGGCAGGGAAGGACAGGCGGGAAGAGAGATGACAGGGGCCTGGCTCCTGCAGAGAGAGACGGACAGATGGACAGACAGACAGGAGAGGAATCTGAGAGCGGCTGCCCCTTCCGACTCTGCCTCCCCTGGCTCCCCTTGCCCGGGTACTCGGGTGTCAGCAGGGGCCCACAGCACAGACGGGGCTGAGAGGCGCCCGGGACACCCCTCGGCCTATCCCTCAGCCCTGCCCTGACTTGGGTCTGGAAACAGGCCCTGTGCCCGTCGCAGCTCAGCAGAGAGAGTGGGAGACAGAGTGAGCGGGGGGCCCCAGCTGACACCAGTGTCACCGTGAGTGGAATAGAGTCCAGAAGCCAGTGCACCCCTCCCAGGGCCCCAGGGTCAATGACCACACAGCAGAGGCCAGGTTGGAGTCATGAACTGGGGGCCCGGCGCCCGCCCAGAGCCTTGGCTCCCCCGGCCAGGCCACTGCTGCTGGCTCAGACCCCACCCACAGGGGAAGAGGGAGGGAAGGGTGTCCAGCTGCTCGGGAGACGGGAGGCCTGGTGAGCACCCGAGGGCCCCAGCCTTCGGTTCTGAAATAGCCGCCCCCGGAGCCACCTGGCTGCGGCGGGAGTGACAGAGACACTGGGCCCTGGGGGCCGGCAGCAAGGTGGGGAGGCCGGCCGGCCCCAGGGAGGGCCGCCGAGGTGGCCACGGGTCTGAAGCCAGCAGGGCACGTAGGTGTGAGTGCGTGTGTGTGTGTGTGTGTGTGTGTGTGTCTGGGGTGGGGACGGTTCATCTGGTCAAGATCTCAAAACCAGTGTTCAGGGGAGGCATCTGAACATCTCAGCCCCACGCAGAACGCTGCCGCCGGAGACTTGGCCTTCCGCTCCTCTCCAGCTCAGAACCAAGCAAAGTCACTTGTCTCCAGCCTCCCCATCCTCAGCGTCTGGGGGCCGCTCTCCCCAGCCCAGCCCGGTCCCCGGGCGCCTTCCCTCCTCTCCACCCCGCGCCCCATCCAGTGCCAGCTGCCCACACAGACACTGGCCCCGCACGCTCTCCCACAGTGGAGAAGCCTGGGGAAGCCAGGAGAGGGGAACTGAGCAACTAGTTCAAGGTCCCCACGTCCTGGCCACAGAGGTGAGGGCTGTCCCCTCACTTGGCCCCCTCGGCTCCCCAGAGTTGGGGACTGGGATGCTGTGGGTGCCCCTGAAAGCGGCAGCTCAGCCCGGCAAACAGGAGGGAGAGGCGGGCATGAAGAGCGACGCAGATGGGCACGGGGGCCCAGACCCTGCGAGACCACTGGCCTCCCACAGAGGGGGCAGAGACCAGAGCTCTGGTGGATGGGGACAGGACCCCGAGAAGAGCCAGAGCCCGGAAGCGGGCAGCCCCCAGGGGCCTGGGCCACACCGTCCCCGCCGGGGGCGATCCAGCCCCAGAGGCTCAGACAAAGACAAGGGGCCAGACAGAAAGACGGACCAGAGGACAGAGGGGCAGGAGGGACGAAGAGCGCTGTGCGGGGCGGGAGCGGTCTGGAGAAGAAACGCCGCATGCCCGGGGCTGTCTTCCCGCTTCCCGGAGCTCGGGGCTAACGCGGTCTGGACACCCCGGTCCGTCCCAGCCCGGGCGCCCCAGAACTCGAGGGCCCGCGGGATCTTGGGACGTGGGGTCGGGACCGACAAGATCGGCTGCGGCCGCGGCTGCACGGGCTCACCCTACCTGGCGCGCCCGGCTGTGGCGCGGAGAGACGGAGAGGAGCGGGCGCGGGGCTCCAGCTCGCTCGCTGCTCGCCCGCCCGCCCAGCGGCTCTGCGCTCCCCGCCAGCCCGCTCGCCCGGCCGCTTTCAATCGCCGCCCGCCCCGCCCCCGGCCCGTCCCCGGCCCGCCCCCCTCCGGGTCTCCAGCTTCCCGGCGGAGCCCCCGCCTCCCTCCTCGCCCCGCCTCTCCGGCTCCAGTTCTTCGCAGGGCGGGGGCCCGGAGCTGTCCGCCGCGTGGTGCTGACACACGGGCGCTCCCGCCAGGCGATGGAGCCGGGGGCCCCGCGGCCCCCTCCGCCCCGCGGTCCCCCTGCGTCCCAGAGAGCAGCCGGCCCGGGCACGGGTCCCGGAAGGTCCCGGAGCCCCGGGAGGCGGGCCCGGTGCCGTGGGTCCCCATCTGTGAGAGCAGAGGGCCTGGCCCTAGGGCTGCGGGGGCCACCGGGGCATGTGGGACGTGGGCGGAGGGCTTAGACCCGTCTGTCCCCGCGCACACCCCACCCCGCTCCCGGGCTCCACGGCGGCAGTTCGGTCCATATGCCAGGCCCGGGAGGGGGCCCGTGTCTTCCTCAGCCCGTGTGAGAGCCGGGGCCTGAGTCACCGGGAGGAGAAGATGGGGGGCAGGTCAGAGGAGGACGGGGCCCCCTCTTGCTTCCTGCAGATGACCTTCAACGCTGCTAACTCGCCCCACACCCACCCACCCAGCCCTGACCCCTCACACTGACCCCTACCCTCGTGGGCCAAGGGGGCTGCAGGGCCAGGGACTGGGGCCAACCCTGAGGGCCGGCTGGGGCTGGCCGGAGATCTGGGAGGGAAGGGCTGGGGAGAGGCTCCTGAAACCGGCTGCTGCGCAGGAAGGAGCGGGAGCGGGAGCCCGGGCGGGACCCCAGGAAGGGTGGCGGGCGGATGAGCCGCAGTGCCGGCCTGCGCCCTGCGCGGAAGGATTTGGGGTGCGGGAGGCGGTGCGGCCTGCCCCCGGGAGGCACACACTAACAAGCGCTAAGGCGCGCGGCGTCCCCACTCGCGTCCCCTGGCGCTGCCCTTTCCCCCGCAGGTGTCAGTGGAGAGCGGCTGGCTCAGACACATGCTAATGAGCGCACGCACGCCAGGGCCAGGCTCCTCCAGCACACACACCTCCCTGCGGTGCGCGAGTGGCCGCTGTGGGGGTGGCAGTGTCAGCAGGGAAGGGCAGGCTCCTTCCCTGGACACAAACCCCACGCCCCGCGGCCCTGGAAGGAGCGCAGCTGTGAGAGGGACGCGCACATCGAGCCCAAACACACACGCTCCGTGGCGGGCGGGCGGCGATGCGGCAGCCGGAGGAGGGTTCGGAGCTGTCAGACGGGCTGGAGAGACAGACAGGCTGTCTTCCAGCTCCGGCTGCGCTCGCCCTCGCCGGCTGGCTGCGCGACCGCCCCCCGGGGTAGGTGAGTGACGGGCCGGGCCCCTGAGCCGCGCGGGGCTGACAGCGGCAGGGTGCTGAGGTGAGAGGACCCTGCGCCACCGCAGCCCACTCGCCCAGGCAGCCTCACAGGAGCCGTGGGGCTTTCGGCCCAGCGCCAGCCCCGGGAGTCCGGGACCAGGCCCGCAGCGCCGCCGCACACGGACGCGCAGCTACACACCCGGCCTCCCGCACGGAGCTGCACAGGTGGACAGTCCCACGCAGCAGCACACACACTCGCTGCGCACGCAGCCGCAACACTCAGCTTTACACGTGGACACGCCCAGAGCCGTACACACGGACAGGCACAGCCACACAGCGCACTCGTGAACAATCACAGCCACCCCGGCCCAGGAGGCCCGCTCCCCCTGCCCTCTGTGGACACGCCCAGAGCTGTCCTCACGGACGCCCAGCTCACAGACCTGTGGCTTCACACGCAGACACGCAGAAAAGGACAACTTCACACACGAACACACAACCACACACAGCTGTGGACACGGAGCCACACACGGGTGTTAGCAGTGCATGGAAATCCCCCCCCCCGGGGGTGGTCCGAGCCAGCCAGCCTCGTGCCCGGCAGCACAACCACAGAGCAGGGGGCACACACGGCACAGCCGTGCGTGCACGGAGCCGCAGTCATGGTCCCCGGGATTACCACCAGTGGGCCCGTCCGCGGTGGCACACGCAGAGCTGGGGCTCTGTGCACAGACGCACGGGGACACAGGTGCTGGCGGGCAGGGCGGGCACGTCCTCTCCTGCCAGGTGGACGCCAGCAGGCCCAGGCTCACTGCAGCCACCAGACACAAGTGCACCCCCACCCTGCCCTGAAGCAGACGAAGGCAGGCTGTGAGCTCCCCACCCCCGGAGGGCGCCCTGGGCTCAGCTCTCCCACAGCCTGAGCGAGCCTCTGGGGCAGCTGTCAACTGGGGCCACAGAGCGGGGCGTGGAGGGCTTCCGGGACCTCCGTCCTGCCCCTGCCTAGGGTGGCTGGCCCCCTTCCTTCTGCTTCTTGGGCCTACCACCCTGCTGCCCCCTGCTCCCAGCCTGTCTGCACAGGGCTCCCCAGGGTGGAAAGAAAAACAAATGCACAGCCCAAATCCAGGTGAAACGAGAAAATCTTTTGCTTTATTCTGGGTCCTGGAAGCTCCAACGTGAGTCTGAAGAGAGATGTAAGAGAGACAGCAGTCCCGGGCTGGGTGCAGAAAACAGCCCCTGCCCCTCCGGCCCCGGGAGCTGGAAGGGCAGCGAGGAGAGGGCTTGGCTAGAGGCCAGGGCAGTCGAAGCGATGAGGTCCCCTGAGACCCCTGGCCCCAGCCTGGGCCCGGGAGGTGGCGGAGGAGGAGGGCCGAAGAGTCTGATCCGTTCCTGGCGACCGCATCAGGGAAGGCCGCGGGCCGGGGGTCACTCTTCGCCCTTCTCAGGGGTACTGAGCTCCCGGGCCCGCTTGGGAGTCCCCGGGGGCTCAGCCTCAGGACTGAGCCTTGGCTCCCCCAGGGGTCCCTCGCCCTCCAGGTCCAGCTCCTCAAAGGACGAGCCGCTGGCGCCTGACTCGCTGTAGCTGTGCTCACTGCGGTTGTCACTGTCGTCCCAGCCACGGCCGCTCGCCCCGGGGGACAGCGTGGCGGCTGAAGTCTCCCGGCTGCCAGGACCCACCTCCAGGCTCACGGAGCTTCCTTCACTTGTCCTGTCAGCTCCTGGGCGGGAAGAGGGGTGCAGGTTAGCTCAGACGCCCCCCCCTCCTCCAGGGAGAGGGCAGCGCTCTACCGTGGGCCCAGCGGCTCAGCACGCTCATGAATCAAACAGCCAGCCCCGCTCAGGGGGCTCGGTGCAGCCGCCCTCTGCCCTCTGCCCTCTGCCCTGGCCGCAGGCTGCAGTGGCAGGGCGGAGGGAATGAGGAGGGAGGGGGAGGGCAGCCTGCTGTGCACTGGCTCCCCACCCCGGATTAGCCTCTGCTCCGGCAGGCCCTCAAAGCCTACCCCCACCCTAACAGTCCATTAAGGACCACTCAGCCCTGAGCCGAGACGCTGCAAGTAGAACAAAGAGACCCAAGCGGTGCCCCACCTCCACCCCGCTTCAGGCTCGGAGGGAGGTTTGTCGGAGGCCAGCTACTGCAGCCCATAAGGCGTGGGGATGGGAGCATGACCGGGAAGCCTGCCCTCCCGCCCCCGTCCCCAGGGAGGGCCCCGCGGGGAGCTGCCACAGGCTGGAAGTCAGCTGGTCCCTGCCTCTGGCCCTGGTGCCTGACGTGCAGGAGGCTGTCACGGGAGTGGGACAGATCCTGAGAAACAGCCCCTCCGGGGGACACGCTGGGCAGAGTGCTGGGACGACACCCCTTAGGGGCTCCCTTTCCTGTGCCTGGCACCCCAGCGGAGCCCTTCCCTACATCCCGTCACTGACGGTTCCTGAGCCACAAAGCAGACGGGGACCACGAGAGCACGCTGCTGGCGGCCAGAGAGCCCCAAGAGCCCGAGACAGTGCGGGGCTGTCCTGAAGGGCCAGACCTCCCCAGCCGGCTCCTCCCACAGCCACAGGTGCTCCAGGCGAGCAGCCTGCGTCTGCCCTGATTGGGTGCACCCCTGCATTCGTGTCCTGGGCTCAGAGGCACTGGCAGCAGCTGGGGGTGGCAAGGAGGGGCCAGGAGCTCAGGCCTCCTGAGTGTAGGCCTCCAGGTGGACAGCAGGCTGGTATGCCTCCTTGCCTGTGAGAGGGAGCGGCAGCCGTCCCACGTCACAGAAGGTGAGGGGTGGGACAGCTTCCCCAGATCCTGTCTCCATAGTGAGGAGGCCCCGGGCCAAGGGCAGCAGGGGACTGCTTGGCATTTGGACTTGGCCTGGAACTTTCACTGATCCTCAGCTGGAGTGTAAGGTAGGGGTGGGGGAATTTGGGGTCTGCTCCCCCAGCTCCCTGGCCCCCGAGATGTCCTGTGGGCCCTGCTGGCAGAGGTGCCGTGAGCCCTGGAAGGACCAGGCCCCAGGCCCAGGGCTCTCCTGCTGCTGGGAACCCAGCGTGGCTCCCTGGATGCAGGCATTGGAGAGGGAGCCTGGGCCACGCCCTGATTTAGGGGTGGTTCCCTCTGACCCTGGGTCAGGGCTCTGGCTCATTGGCTCCTTAAAGGATGATCAGTGCCCCAGGGGCTGCAGGACTGACAGGAGCAAAAGAGGGGACAGTGTCTCCCTGGCCCCATTCAACTGTCACGTTCTCTCACCTGCCGGCTCTCTGGGGACTCAGGTGTGGAGGCCTCCCTCTCCCGGAGCCTGTGCTAGGAGTGCTCAGAGGAAGGAGCCCAGGGTGCCCCGTCAGGCCAGGGCCCAGCATGCTGGGAGGGGACAGCCCCTGGGGACGTGTGGACATTTGTGGCAAAGGAGTACAAGGCAGGGAAGTGACACCCCACCTAAATCGCCAGGGCTGCTGGGCCAGGAAGTGAAGCTGCCACTTTCACCCCAGCCCCCACCTCCTCCAGTGCCTGCAGCGGCGTAGAGATCAAATATTCATCGCCTTTCTGGAGCTAAATAATACATCAATGCAGTGACAGGCACAAGGCAGCAATCACCCTCTTCGGCCTCCCAGCCCCAGAGGGGCCCCGGCGGGGGTGGGGGGCGGGGGGCAGGGACAGGCCGAGCCGTGGGCGGCCGAGCACCCATCATGCAGTGCCATGCAAGCGGCATGCACCTGGCAGGCAGACACCCAGCGTCCGCCCCGGCGTCAGGGCAGAGCCTGTCAGAGGTGGGCAGAGCCCTGGCCTCCACGCCAGGGAGCGGGTGGGCGGGTGGGCGGGCTGGTGGGAGGACAGGCCGGGAGCTAGGGGCGTGGGAGCTGCAGCTGCAGCCAGCTGCGGCGGGCACCGAGCAGCCCTCCAGCACCCTGGCAGGCGGTGTTTGGGCGGGAGGCTGGGCGGGCCAAAGAGAGGGAGAGCTGGAGGAGGCCGGGGGGCAAAGGAAGGTCAAAGTGCTCCCCCTCCTGCCCTGGGGACTGCTCGGGCCTGCTGACCTTGGGCCATATCCTGTGCCCACAGCCAGGGCACTGAAGAGCGTCTGGCAGGCGCTCCGGGCGGTGGGAGCGCGCCCCGTGGAGGTAATTAGGCGGCAGACGAGGCCGACTGTGTCGGACACAGCCCCCAGGGAGCGTGCAGACGGCCTCCCGGACCCCCACCGCGGACAGCGCATGCTCTCCAGGGTGACCTTGCCGCCGAAGCCCGGGCAGACAGTGGGAGTCTTCTGAAGACGGGGCTCGGAGGGACAGCCCCTCTCCTTCAGCTCGAGCCACACCCGCAGGGCACGGACCTGCAGACCATGTGGGGCTCCCTCCACAGGCCCGGCTGAGGGTCGGCCTCTGGGGCCCCCTCACCCCTGAGGACAGCTCTTGGTCACAAGGGGTCCTGGCAGGGGCTGGGCTGAGAGCAGGCAAGTGTGCTTCTGGGGGCAGGGGCCGGCATTGCTCTCCCACCCGCCCCCCCACTCTCCGTGCTCCCCGTCCGGGTGCTCCGAAGCAGGGAGAGAGCAGCTGGCTCCCTGCGGCCCCCGTACTAGGGGACAGGACACTGTGCTCTCCCCTTCTTACCTTCCAGATCCTGGCCAGTCCTATTTCCCGCTGAGCCCCACCCACGGACCGCCTTTCCTGAGCAGGCCGCCCCCGCCCCCCCTGCCACCGCGAGCACCCGGCTGTCAGTGGTCTGTTTCCAAGGGCACGCACGCCTGCGACAGCTGAAGGGAATCCAGGCAGAGCCTATGTATCTGTGTTGCCGGGGGTAACACGTGAACCCACACCTCCACTGCCCTTTGTGTCTGGGGACAGGCAGCTCTGCCCGTGGGTCCTGGGGGGACAGGTCTCCTCCTCCCACCCCGGCCAAGCTCAGCCTGGACACCGGCAGTGCGGCCCCGCCAGGGAGGAGGCGCCTCGGCCGCCCTGCAGGCCCACCTCGCCGCGCGCCCTCTGTACCTGCGCCGTCCGTTTGGGCGTCACTGGCCTCCACGGGCCCCCGGCTCTTCCGCTCGGTCTCCTTCACCTCGGGCACATAGAAGTCCCCCTGCCGTGCCAGCGGGCACACGAAGTAGATCTGGTCCTGCTGGTAGATCTCCAGCCGAGGGTGGGCGCACAGCTTCCGCTCCTTGTCAGAGACGAGCAGAGGGTGGGATGAGCTGCACGCGGGCCTCTGGTCCGGGGGTCCCGAGACTGGCCGCCATCTACCGCTCCCAGCGCCAGCCGGGCCCCCGGCCCCAACGACCCTCATGCCCCGAACCCCTGCAGGGGAGGCACACCACGCCCTAAGGGCCCAGCCCCTCGCTCCGGGGGCGGTGGTCCGGGGACCCAGGAGTCCTTGGGACAACCCCCTTGGGCAAGTGCTAAAACAACCCTGGGGCCCCGAGCAGTGCAGCTCCGAGGACTGGGCGTCATTTGGCAAGGCCAAAGGTCCCCAGCTCCATTCGAGGTCAGGCCACATGCCTGGGTGGCAGGTTCGGTCCCCGGTCAGGGCAGGTGTGGGAGGCAACTGATGGATGTTTCTCTCCCACATCCATGTTTCTCTCTCCCTCTCTTGCCCTCTAAAAATAAAAACATCTTAAAAAAAAAAAAAGAATAAAAGAACCCAGGAGCCCCGGCCAGGTGGCTCAGTTGGCTGGAGCGTCCTGTGCACCAAAGGTTCGTGGGTTCAGTTCCCAGTCAGGGCACATACCTAGGCTGTGGGTTCAATCTCCACTTGGGGCGCGTGCAGTAGGCAACAGATCAATGTTTCTTTCTCACATTGATACTTCTCCTTCTCTCCTTCTCTCCCTCTCTCTAAACATATCCTCGGGCGAGGATTTAAAAAAAAGGACCCGGGAGCCTGGCACTGCTCATCCCTCGCGTGTCCGGGGCTGAGAGGCGAGCCCAGGCGGCACTTGGTCACGCGCGGCCGTGAGGCCTACCGCCTCGGGCTGCCCCAGAACGGGGGGCCTCGAGCCAGGGTCCGACTGCCCGACTTTCCACCCCAGGCTGCCTGGCCCTGACCTCCTCCCCGCACCCCACCCCCGGACAACACTGCCTGGCCTCTCAGGCCTCCGGTCCCTAACCCTAACCCTAACCCTAACCCTAACCCTAACCCGCCCCCCCGAGTCCACATCTGCGCCAGCCTCTGAGACCCTCAGACGTGGTTGGTTTCCAGCCCTTTTCGCAGCAGGGCCCAGAGCTCCAGCCAAGGGGAGGAGCCAGCCCCGAGGCTGGGGGCACACGGGACAAGTAGATCTAACACTGGACACTATGGGGCCCCAAGTGCTGGGACAGGCACTCCCCTCCCTCTGTCTGGCCTTCCTGGACCCGGAACCCAAGGCCCCCCATGCCCCAGTGTGGGCGGAAGGGGGCACAGACACCCGCCAGAACAGGGTCAAGTGCATCTCGCCCCCGAGCCTGCCCCCTTTCCTGCAATGAAGCACAATTACGAAGACGAAGACGACCGTGCAGCCCTGGCCTGTCCCTGCTCACCCACCAACCTTCACAACGTGGCTATTTATAGCACCGCTGGCTCTCGCCACGAGCTCTGAAATGGACCTTCCACTTAGCGGTAATGAGAGACTCAGCAGCGGTGGGGAGAAGCCACTCCTGGACCCCACTTGTCCACCTGCTTGGCCGAGCCCTGGTCGAGGAGCCCCTCCAGTTAAAGCAAGTGCAGGGGGTGAGGCAAGCCACCCAGGGGGAGCGGGGAAGAGGGGAGAGCCTGGAAGACTTCTCGAGTCAGGCGAGGGGGGGATGCTCTGGCCCAGGTCTCACTGCAGCTCAGCCTCTGACTCCACGGGCGACTCCGGGCAGAGTGGGACCCCCTGCCCGGACACCTCCAGGGTCATCGAAGGAAGGTCATCACTTTTAATTGTCGGGAGTCCATTCTTTTCTGCCCAGCCGGGCGCTCCCCAGGCCACCCAGTGAGTCAGTGGCCCCAGCCCCTCCCACCCCTGAGCAGCCGATGGCTGCCTCCGCGCCTCCACCTGCCCACACCCCCCACCCCAGCCCGGTCCTCGGGAGGAGGCTGTGCAAGAACACGCCAGGGAGCGGGCACTCCCAGGCCGTGGGACCCTCTAACGCCAGCACCAGGGGTCGGCACCCAAAGGACCTGAGCCCCTCTCAGTGAAGCGGGCCGAGTCAGCAAGGCCGGGGGCCCCTGAAGGTCCGGGTCCGTCCCCGGCAGCCAGAGGGAGGGTGAGGGAGAGGCCCCGAACCCGGGCAGGACATGGCCCTCACCGGCACCCCCGCGCTCTGGGCGCTCTGCGGGTCCGCGGGAAAGGGCCTCAGTGGCCATCCGTTAGCTGGCGACCCATCTCTCAAGGTCTGGGGACAGCTGGCTTTTGGGGATCCTCCCTGGGAGCCTGTGCTCCTCCAGAAATCCCAAGGACAACAGTGTCCTACCCCATCATCCCCTGCCAACACCTGAGATGGCACAGCTTCCCTTCGGGAAGTGACGAGGATGACAGAGGGATCAGTGCTCTTCCCACCCTCCTCTCGGAGCTGGGACCAGGGCGGGCAGCGCCAGGCGGCCGGCCCCAGCCACCTGCTCTGCCAGCCCCCTCACTGGCAGGTGGGAGGCAGCTCTGTGGCTGCTCTGCGCATCTGCCTCCTCCCGGAGAGCCCGGCTCTGAAGTTGCCTGGCTGTGGACAGCCCTGTTGCCATGGAAACTGCATCCTCCATCCTTGCCATCGCCTTCATCTCAAAGCCATCGGGGAGAACAGAGGAACAGGGGAGACAGGAGGGAGAGGCAACTGTGGCCTGGCTGCACGGTCCCCCCTTCCCCGGCACCTCACAACTTCCCACACAGGGGACACCCACTGCCCAAGCCTGCCCCCAGCCCCTGGAGGGGCAGCTTCCCACCCAGGCCCGGCCCGGCCCAGCCCAGCCCGGTCCAGCCCCACCCCCACCACCTGGAGGCCCTGGCACTTGGCACTCCCCTTGGAGGGAGGCATGGAGCTAATTAAAATCTCACTGACGGCTCAGCCCCAAATCACTTTAACACTTGCTGGGTCCTGTCAGGATTCGCTCAGGGGCAGGAAGGCAGAGGCACAAACTCCCAACCCAGGCCCACAGCGAGGGGCGAGCTTAGAGATGTCCCCGCAGCCTCTCCTGGGAGACCCACGCTCTGCCCACTGGGGATGGGTGGAGGGTGAGGGGCAGGACTGGCCAGCGCCCAGGCCCCGGCTGCCCAGCAGAGGCTGCGGCCCGGGCAGCATGCCCACGAGTTGGTAAACACTGGACGGCCAGTGAGAGAGGACAAGGGCAGCTGCCTCTCCCTCAGCTGGCCCCGGGGCGCCCTCGGAGAGCAGACTGCCCAGAGCCACGGACACCAGGTCAACACCACACAGGGCTGGTCCTCTGCGGGGAGGGGCGTGAGGTCCTCCCAGCCCCGGGCCCGCCCCTCCCCACGGTCCAGCCAGCCAGAGGCTTGAGGAAGCGGCACTGGGACAGGGGAACCTGCTCTGGCCACCTGACGAGGCCACAGCCCAGGGCAACCCACTCCCACACACAGACTCGAGGCGACCACAAGTCCCCACACCAAGGTGGGACAGACACGGCCGTCCACAACCCTCACCATCAAACAGAACGAAGCCCACTCACGGGGCCAAGGTGCCGCAAGAAACCGGCTCAGGTGTTCTAGCCCCGAGTCACACCTCCGAGGCTTCCCTCCCACCTGGGCCTCCCACAGGCAGAAACGGGAGGACACACGACCCCACTGGACACGCGGGGATTCCCAGGAGACCTCAGGCACCAGCACTCCCCGCCCCCCGGCCCCGCCCCCACACCAGCCCACCCCCCGGGAGAGCTGGCAGACAGGGGAAAGAGAGGTGGGCACAGGTGCCCCGGCCCCAGCTACCCTGGGGACAGGCCACACCCCTCCTCCTCACCTCACGTGGCGCTCATCCCCTGGGTGGGGGGAAGCATCAGCCCACGCAGCTCAGGGTTCGGGTAAGAAGGCTAGCCTGGCGTGCTGAGCCGAGGGTCCCCCGAGTCCTTACTGAGTTGGGGGAGGGGTAGTGGCCCGAGAGAGAGGGGAACCCTTTGAACCACCCCCATGTGGTGTCCTGCCTCGGCCAGGGGTGGGGGCAGAAGAGGCCAGGCCCTGGTGGGGGCTGGGGGTGGGTCCACCTCCCAGGCTGCTTCGAGGCTAGGCCTGCGCGGAGCAAAGTGACCTCCAGTCCCCAAAAGGAGGCGGCAGTGGGTGCAGTCCAAGGGCTGGGCCACACGTCTCTGCCCAGGGAGGGCCGAGAGCGCTCCCCAAACACAGCCCCTCACCTCCCACCTCACTGGGGTGAGGGGCCCTGGCCCTCCCCGTTCAGCCTGAGCTGCCCGGTCCTGCTCGTCCCTCCACGCCAGGGCGGATGGCCGGGCGGCCCGCCGGGCGGCCCACGGCCAGAGCACAGCTGTCGCACGCCCCCCGAGGTGGCGGCATCTCCGCAGTGGGTGAAGCCAGGCGTGCTCATTTTTAATTACACAGACACCGCCGTGTGCCCGCCTGCGCACAGCGGTGTCTGCAAGCGGGGGCTCAGGCCCCAGGAGCCCCTCCGGCAGCTGGGCTGCATCGCACGCGAGGGGCAACGGGAAGCGGCGGGCGAGGCGCAGCAGGGCCGCCGCGGGAACGTGGCGCTCTGTCATTAGTCTGCCCGGACCTTCTGCTCGCTGCCCTCCCCCCGGCCCCCTCTCGTCCGCCCTGGGCCTCCCGACGGCCCCCGGCCCAGAACGCACACCCGCAGGGGGGCCGCGGCAGGGCCGGCGAGCACCCTCCCCGCGGGCAGCGCGCAGCGCACAGCGGGAGGGCCCGAGGCCCTGCCAATGACTGGCCGAGGGGACAGGGAGGGAGAGGGGCTGCCGGGGAGGGGAGGGCAGGGCAGGGCAGAGAGGGGGCGGGAAGGCACAGGGAGCCCCAGGAAGGAGCCCAGGGCCTTGCAGGGGCCCCCGACGGGCCGGTGGCTTCTCTCTGGATTTCAGTCCCCCCAACAGTAACAGATCAAAACGGAGGGCATCGAAAGAAGCGAGGAACCGGAAAAGGCGAATTAATTACCATTACTTAAGGGCCACTGTGTACTTGAAAAACCAAAGACAATCAATGGAGAAACCACCATCAACACTGAGGTCACAGAATTAGCAGCAGCACA